TCAAGTACATGTTAAGGTGACCTCCTGGCCTCAGCCCTTGCCCCTACAGCAGAGGTCCTGCTGAATCCTTAATCAGCTCATGTCACTTTGCTATGTGCCCCACTATGCTATGATGTGCATCTTCTGGTCTAAGTAAAAGAAAGCCAGTCTTAATGTGAGCCTCTCAGGCTCTCAGCCCCCACCTCCCACCACGCTCTCTCCATCCATCACCCGCTCCCACCCTCGACAACATTGCTGGCTCTCCTGTCTCCTTCAGGTCTTCAGAGACATTAGCTTCTAGTGAAGCCTTCCCTGATTACACTATTTAAATGTGTGATCCCTCCTCCTGCTCCTCCATTCCTCTCTCCTGCATTATTTCTCTCCATAGCAGTTGCTGCCTAACATACTGTCTTTGGACTGGCTGTATACTTTGTAGTCTCAGTGCAAAATGAAAATGTGGGGACTTTCGCTTAAAAATTATTAAGAACTCCCAGGCAGCAGTGCGGGGCCCTGGGTGGCTGCCTGGGCTGCCTGACCGCGTAGTGGTCCTCACAGTGTTCTGCTGGTTTATGGTCCTTCTTCCTCAGCCAAGAGGGAAGCCCTACTAGAGGAGGGATCTGGGCTTCGTCCACAGTAGTATTTTAGGATCTGCAGCATCTAGAATGAAGATTTCTTAAAGTGAGAAAGAAAAGAGTCACATTAGAGGTCAGCACAGAGAAGGAGCACCTCACTCAGCCAGGGGGCGTGGGGAAAGGCTTCAGTGAGGACACGTGAGGCAGCCGGGTCTGGAAAGGTGGGTGCAGGGCTGGGGAAAGCCAGCTGGGGCCTAGGCAGCCTGTGGGCATGAGTGCAAGCACAGGGGTAAGAGAGTGCAGACCCCCGGGCTCTGCTGTTTCTCCGTGGAGCGGTGCTGGGGATTCAGATGTTACCCTATAGGGCTGGGGTTGCATGTGCCTTATGTGGGCCATAAGGAATCTCCCTGCTTCCCTGCCATGTCCCTTGACTCACCAGAGCTTCAGACGTGAGCGTCCTCCTCCTGCTGGCCTCCACCAGGACGCTGCTCAGGTCCCTCAGACCCAGCATGTCTGAGACGAGCTCTTCAGCCGCCTTCCCAGTCCCTCGGTCCCCCCATCCAGCCAGTGCCAGAAACCTGGGAGTCGCATGAGATCCTTTCTTCATCTCCAGCCCCTGGCCCCTCCATCACTGAGCTCGAGGCGACATCTACACTTCGGCCACGCTGCCTTCCTCTGGCCACTGTGCTTTTGCTAGCGTGATGCCAGGCCTGCCCTCCCCTCTCCTCTTCTCCTGGGTCGTGCCCTCTAATGTGGGCCTGGGTGCTCAGTAAGGTCTAGAAGCAGTGGGTGGCCAGGAGGCCTGGGGCATGGAGGACTCCTTTTTTCTGGCCTGGGGCCTGGATGGGGTCCTTGTCTCCTGTGTGTCCCACACCTGTCAGCTGAGGGCGCTCCTGCCCCACAGAACCCCGGCATCCCGGCTCCAAGTGGGGGCGGGGAGCTCTGGAGCCTCTCCTGGCGGCTGGGCCTGCTCAGCCTGCCCAGCAGGTCTGGGCGTGGGTGGTGGAGGCCAGAAGAGGGAGTGGGGAGGAGCACATCTGTGTGTGGGTGCGGGCCTCGGGGTGTGGGGGTACAGGAGCTGGGTGTGTGCATGCAGCTTAGCTGTGTGTGTGTGGTGGGGACATAGGTCATGGTATGGGTTCTGTGGAGCCTGGGGACCTCACAGTAGGATTCCTTGGACTTAGGCGAAAGTCTGGGCCTGGCCCTGTCTGCCCTCCAGCCCCTTCCCCAGGGCACCCCACCTCGTCACCCACTTGAGGCAGATCTTCAACAGGCTGCTTTGGAGGGCGAGCTTTGAGGTGTAATCCCCACTGTTCACCTTGGTCCATCCCTAAAAGGTTGTAGCCTCGGTGTCCTTGTAAGTCCAGTGGGGACAAGGACACCAATGTTGCAGGACTGTTCTAAGAACAGTGGGAAGCACCTAGGGCCTGGCCCCCACACAGTGGCAGGAGGGATGGTGGCGTCACAGCTGTGCCAGGCAGCAAGTGCTATACCCAGAGAGGCTGTGCCCTCAGGAAGCTGGAGGGCTGGAGGGTGGCAGAGGCCCACCACAAAGCTGTGGGGCAGGGGCGGGGAAAGGGCCACCAGACCACGGAACACGGTGGTCTGGGCTCTGCTTGTAGGAAAGACAGGATTTCACCAGGGAGTGCACTCCAGGCTGTGGGCGGCCTACAAAACCAGTGGGGTGGAAACTGGGGCCTTTGGACAGCAGTAGTGGTCTGGTGCGGTGGGCTCTGTTGGGGTCAGGCTGCCGGGTGGGATGGCTGAGTGTTGGGGCCTTGACTGCTAGTGAAGAGCCTATAGTGGAGGGGAGGGCTCCAGCCAGGGAGACCAGCTGGGGTGGGGGTAGGGGCCCGAGTGGTCAGTGGACAAGAGGTGCCGGGGCCTGGGCCTGGATGGCAGCTGGAGGGGAGAGGTTCACTGGGAGGAGAATCTCCTTTTCCTCTTGGAATGCATTGTAGGGAATTGAGGTTAGATGACTAGAAGAACTTCCTGGCACAGATCTGGGGACGCCCTGGCCCAGGGGCCTGGCCCTTACCCATCCCTGGATCCCCTGCCTCTCCCCAGCTCCCACTGTCTTCAGACACCCCTTGCCCTTGTCTGGGCTTCTAGGAGTGAGCCCCACCCTGGCTGAGGCCTGCTGCGGGGTGAGAGTTCTGTTCCAGCTCCACTGAGTGACAAGTGATGCACTGCGACCTCTCTGGGTCTTCCTCGCCCACCACGGTGGGTCTTGGGGCCCCTGCTCCGTGGGCTGGGGCTTCTGACAAGACAGTGGCAGGCCAAGGGAAGGACCTACCAAGGCCACCTTGGCTTGAAGGCTGAGGGGGTGAGAGAGGGCTGGGCGGGGCCTGGTGAGTCTGGGGCACCTGGGCCTGCCTGTGAGGGGTCTCTGGAGCCTTTTGACAGTGACTGTAGCACAAGGGCTTCAGGCTGAGACTGAGGGAGGAGTCCCAGCAGCTTCCTGGGAAGCGGAGGAGGGTGCTGAGCTCAGCTTGTGTGTCCCTGAGTGGCAGGTCTGGGCTTTCTGGGAATGCAGCCTGGGCCTGAGGGCAGGCGAGGGAGGCCAGCCAGGGGCCCTGCACCCCCGCCTCCATCCGCAGACATTCCCAGTCTGGCTAGGAGAGTGGGGGGTCTCCAATTCAGCCTGCTCGGCCTTTAGAGCAGGGCAGGGGCTGGGGTGATCTGGGGGCGGGGCAAGAGTGAGTGGTGTGGGGTGAGTGGGGAGCTGAGCCCCCTGGGCGTATTAGAACCCATGCCTGGGGCTTGGGTTTGACTCCCTCCCCTGAGGCGCGCCTGGGGTGCGTCAGGGCCTGGGGGAGAGGAGTGGGCGTGGGAGTGTGCAGTGGAGCCCTGAGCTGGGAAGGCACAGAAGTGCCTGCTCTGAGCCATCCCCGACCTCTGCAGGGCAGGCAGGCTGGGGCTGGCCAGCAGGCCTGAGTCTGAATGACCCCATCCAAGTCCTGTCATAAAGCCACTGGTGCTGGGAGAGCGTCTGCTATTCTTAGTAGGGGACACGTCAGGTCCCCAGCCCCTGTTCCTCCATGTCAGCTCCCAGCCTGGGTGTGCACAGCCTGGTGCAGCAGAGGTTCCTGATGGCTGGACAGTGGGCCAGAGTGGGCGCAACGTGGGCAGTCTGCGCACAGGTGGGGTTTGTGAAGAGTGCGGAGGCTGCGAGGCTCAGTGGAGGGTTACTGGAGAGGATAGAGGTGTGCAGTGCTCCTGGGCTGTGGAATGGGGAGGAGGATTAGAAAGGGCCTGGGAAGGCAAGGCTTGGAGGGCTGGTTAGGTTTTGGAGTGGTGGTAGGGCTGACAATGGAATTTGGGGCACACAGATGATCTGAGAGGGGTGAGGGTCAGAGCTGGGTTTCGGATGGGATTGGTTTAGGGCTGAGTTGTGAGGATGGAGAAGGGCTTAAGCATAGAGAAGAAAGTAGAGTTTGGGGCACAGTTCAGATTTGTGGTTAGGGTTGGGATTAGTACCATGTCAGATGAAGGGATGGGGTCAGGGCTGAGAGTAAGGGTCATTTGCAGTTAGCACCGGGTACAGCTCGGGGTTGGTGAGGCTGGGTCAGGGCGAGGGCTTCTGGGGTAGGGTCAGGTGTGCGGGGCCTGCTGAGGGTGTCCGAGGATCGGCTCGTTCTGCCCTGTGGTGTCCCTGATGGGCCTTTTCTCCCTTTTTGCAGGGTTGCTCTCAGCTATGGCCTTGGTTGGAGACCCAGCTGGTGGCCAGACCCTGCCACCCTCTGGGTTTGGACCGGGGCTCCAGGAGGTGGCATCCTGCAGTGGAGCCCCAGACTCTCCAGTGCTGGAGTATCAGCCGAAGCAGGGGCCCCCATTTCACACTGGAAAGGGCCTGGGGTTTGGGGTTCCTCCCTGCCGGGGAATCTAGGGTCCCCACTCCTGGCTGCTGCCTGCCCTCCTGCCTCGGCCTCACCCTGGGTCCTTGTCTGGGAACCTTAGCACCTTCTTTGAGCCGCTGGTGGTGTTGGGGCACTTAACAGAACATGCTCCGGCCCCTCTCCTCACAAACCTTACTCCCAGGTCTAGACAGGGAGGCTGGGCTGCTCCGCATTGTCTTAAGCAGAGCTCAGTGAGAACCCATGGCTCTCACCAAGGTCCTCTACTTCTGCCTTGGTTTCCTTACAAGTCCAGCCCTGTGGGGAAGCTGGGCTCCTGGGCCTCAGGCCTGATGCTCCCCATCCTAGTGCCTGTCCCCTGCTACTGCACTGAGCTGGAGTCGGCAGCCCGGTTGTGGGCTTCTGCTCCTGGTCTCAGCGAGACCTCCAGGCTTCCTCGGGCCCAGCTCCTCAGCTCGGCCGGTCATACCTGGGCATGCCCAGTCAGAGTGAGGGGCTATCTCGGTTCCCTCACTGCAGCAGGGGTTGGGGGGGCTCCTGAGCCCTAGGCTGGGGTGGGTCCGGAGGGGTGGGGGCACCTGGCTGGGTGTGCCTGTGTGTGACTCAGTCTGGATGCCCAGGCTCTGAGCTGGCAGCTTTGTTCTCCCACTGGCCGGGTAGGCTGCGTGCTGCAGCCCTGAGTCACCCGGGTGTGGCCGAGCTGCTGGCGGGACATACATGGCCACATTCACAGAGAACCACACAGAAGCTCAGGACACAGTGCCCTGGGAGCGGAGGGGCCCCCTGGTGTGGGTGCTGTCGCTGGTGCCTTTCCCTCGGTGGTGCTGTGAGGCATTCCCGAGAAGCTCCTTGGTGACTAAGGGCCCTGTGCCCCTGGAGCAAACTCAGCTGTTTACTGAGAAAGGCTTCTCTCTCTTCATGGTCACTCCCTGGTTCGGGCCTGGAGGGGGACCTGCAGGCACAGCCAGAGACCCTGAGGGGTACACAGAACCTTCCCCAGCTACCTGATAAAGGGCATATGCAGGTGACCATGTGCCATCTGTCCAAACTGTGCACCCATTGGATCCTTGGAACAGCTCTGAGAGGAAGGTGCATTGTTCCCACTTTACAGATGAGGACACCAGGGTGGTTAATAGTTGTCTAGAGTCACCCGACTAGCGTGTGTCCCACCGGGACGCTCTTCCTCAGGTGCTCTGTGTGGCCTGGCTCCGGCCCTCCCTCCACTTCAGTCCAGCTCATCACTAGGATCCCCTCGACACCACCCCTTGCTCAGTCAGGCAGGGGCCCACAGGGACTGGGGCCAGATTTTCCCATGGGGAATGGTGTCACTGTCCCTCCCAGGCATGGGGCCTGGCGCCCAGGCCCTTCCACTGTCTCTGAGGATGAAGACACAGGGCTCTGCTGGACTCCCTGGAGGGTACCTGACCTGCTTTCTCTGGGCTAACAGCAGGAGGTCCTGGGGCCCTGAGGAGCAGCTCCCTACTTGGGGGATCCAGGCCTCACTGCCCCCAGGGACAGCGCAGGAAGTGTGTGCATATCTGTGTGTGTGGGATGGGACAGGAGAGGCAGCTTGGCTTATACCAGGTGTAGGGGGGAAGCAGTGCAGGCAGCCTGGGCTCTAAACTGCCTGTGGACAGCCCCCTCCCACAAGGGTGAGGATGGGCACACGGGGCCCCTGTGTCCTGGGCCAGGCTTGGGTTCTTGGAGGCCAGCTGGAGCTTGCCTGCTTTTCTCAGGTAGACCAGGGTCTGCTATGGACCCTGCTGCCCCCAGAAAGGCCTAGCCTGGTACAGTGGGGTGAGCAGCTGGGGTGTGGCCCCAGGAGCTGGCCCCACCCCCTGCACCATCCTGCTTTGTCAGAAGCTGTTTGAGGGAGAGAAGAAAGCACCTTATTAGGTAAGAAATGCCTTCTACAAGGTGGGGAGAGGCCAGGCCCGCCTCTACCTCCAGGCCCACCTGCCCCACCCTGGCAGAACACCAGCTTCTGTGGCATCTCAGTCCTGGCCCGAGCCCAGCAACCCCACACCCCCTCACCCCATGGAGCTCCGGCTTCCTGCTCCACACTCGGGTGGGGGCATCTGGTATGGGGAAGCCTGGCCTCCCACCTGGGAGGCAGAAGGGGCAGCCTCACGAGCGTCAGCTTGGGGGCTGTGTGACCTTGGCCAGGTGACCCCTCCTTCCCAAGCCTGAGCTTCCTCTTCTATACAATCAGCAGGTGTGCGAGGGACCTTGAATTGTCCTGAGGCTTCTTAACCCCATCGGGTGTCCCTCCACTTACAAACATGGGGCCAGGGTGCACCCGTCTCCAAGGGTGTAGTCTCAGCCCCCTTGCTCCAAACCCAGAGCTTGCCTATGGGGCTCCCTGTCTCTGTTCCAGGGAAGCGGGGGCTCCAGGGCAGGTCAGTCAGTTCTCCAGGCAGGGCAATCTGCTTGGCTTGGCCGCTTACAGCAATGGGGCCTTGTAGAGACAGGGCCTGAGGAAGCCGGCGCTGCCTCCTTAGATCTGTTTCTCTGCCAGAAATGCCTCCATTTCCAGCCGTCAGCTAATGCCGGCCCCAAAGCCCCCAGGCCAGGCCGTAGGTACATCATGTATTGCATCTTCTCCTGCCGTTGGAACTTGGCTTTGGATATAAAAACCCTGACTCCACATTTCCAAAGTGTCTTTTAAGCATTATCTGGTTTGACTCTTGTCTACAGGACACTTTGGCAAGTGAGGTTTCACAGCATGGCCGGTGCTCTCTGCCCTGGACCCCTGGTCAGCACAGTAAGGGAAGGGAGCCTGTCTCATTTCTGTCGGTCCTGGGAAGATTGGAGTTGGGGGCGTCCTTGGATAATGTCTAGTCCAGCCTCCCACTGTGGAGCCCAGATTGGCCAAGAACCCAGGATCCTTCCCTTCCTCCTGCCCCCGGTCCTGGCCAGAGGCTGCCTGCTCTCCCTATTCCCTGTGTCTGGCCCAGCCAGGGGAGACAGGGTTGGGACAGGTTCCAAGCCTCTGCCTCATGGAGGATCCCTGCTGTGGGCCTTCCTTCCCTCCGCCTCTGTCCCACGGAGCCTTCTGGCTTGCCCATTCCTAGCATAGCAATTGCACAGAGGTTTTTCAAGAGGGCTGACAAGGCAGCTTCTGCTGTGTGAAGAAAACAAGGCCAAACACGTGAGCATGGCTGCCATGCACAGCTGCCCTCTCCCGTTCCCAGCCTCCCCTGCGTGGAGTGGCTCTCAGAGGCTTTTTGCGCTCCCCTGGTCAAGTGCACAAAGGACCCTTCACTTCCAAGTCCCTGTGGCTGCACCCCCTCCTGAAAACCCTGGGGCTCAGGGAGTCCCCCAGTGTCATGCCAGTTTGGAATCCAGGCAGTCCGAGCAGGAAGTTCTCCCTGTTGTCTGGCTCCAGTCTCTCCTGCTGTGTTTCAAGCCCCCTCTCTTCTTGCCCTGTCCTCTGGAGGGAGCAGGCTGCCCAGTGCTCAGGCCACAGTAAGTTGGAGGTCAGAGTTACAGGGGCCCTAGTTCTTTCCTGTTTGTCCCTATCTGTGGGGTTTGGGCAAACTGAGGCTCCATGCTGAGCCCCCATTGGGGATGACCTCTGTTCTTCGCCAGCCCACTGGCCTGTCCTGGCTTTCCACACCTCATGCATGCTCCTCTCCAGGAAGATTCTGCATCTTAGTTGGTCCTCGCATCCTCTCTGTGTCCCCTGCCAGCCTGTGTCCCCAGTGCCTCTGCCAGTGTCTGACACTAGTTGGTGCTCATTACGTATTTAAGAGCTTGAACAGTTTCCACAATGGGGAGCTCACTACCTCATCATGGCACCAACCGCTGTGGGAAGCTCTAATTCTTAGAACGGTCTTTCTGGCACGGAACTGACACCTACCTCCCGTCAACCTCCATTCTGGGGAAGGACACACATGGGTCTCCACCCTCTTCCCAGGCCAGCAGCCCTTCAAACACATGCTGAGAACCATGGTCAGCTAACTTTTCCTGACTTTCCAAATGGAGATTCCAGAGTAGACCCTGTGGGTCCAACCCACTGGGACCTTTGGTTCACAATGCTTTACCTGGGGACATCTGAACACCACATGTAAACTTAGACTACCTTTTTCTCCCGGCCTGTAGGCTGATGCTAGGCCCTAGAGGGGGTTAAAGAGAAGAGGGGACTGTAGGGTCTCTTCAGATCACCACCCCCTCCGGGTCACTGATGTGGCTTCTTTAGGCCTGGACCAGGATTCATGAGAAGGTTCTAGAAGCCAGGAGGGCCAGGGCATGGGAGGCAGAGGGTGTGGCTTCTCCCAGGGCCTGGGATCAGAGAAGGCCTGAGAGCAGAGTTACAGTCTGTGAACAACTGTTAGTGAGCACTTACCGGATACAAAGCCCTATGACTCTGGGAAAGGAGAGCACATTTTAAAGTGAGTTAGGCCAGGCCTGCCCTGAACCCCAGATGCGCAGGTCTGATGTGGGTCTTAGAAACAGCTCTTCCAACCAACTCAGGGACTGAGGGCCCAGAGAGGGACATGTGCTGCCTTGGGCCACACAGCAGTATGTGGTGGCTGGGACTCGAGACCATGTTCCTTCCCCAGCGTCTACTCCCCAAGGAACTGCCTGAGCTCCTTCTCCTTGGGAATTCAGTAGTGGGGAAGAGGAGGCTCCGGCCCAGGGAGCAACAGACCGTGCCCAAGGTTCTGAAGCACAGCTGCCGGTGGCAAGGAGGCCCAGAAAGATCTGCAGAAGCCCAGTCCCAGGAACATAGAGCTACCGACAGGCACCAATGGGGGTGTGTGTGTGTGTGTGTGTGTGCATATACATGACATGTATGGGTGGCAGGGGCTGTGCAGGGTATGTTGTGGGCAGGTCGATGAAATGTGATAAAGCAGGAAGAACAGTGTTGCACATAGTAAGTACCGTGCTGTTATTGTGAGGGATCTTAGCCTAGGTAAGGCAAGGAGGACTGGAAAAGTTGCAGGTGGGGGACCCTGGCTGAGTTGTGGGCAGGAGGAGTGGGCGTCAGAGATAGCAGGACAGGTGGTCTTGGAGGGGTGCTGGAGATGCTGAGTCAGAAAGAGGAGGCTCCGGCTCTGCCCACCTCCTGGGCAAGAAAAGTCTAGAAACTGGAGGCCGCTTCTCCAGCCTAGCTGCCGGTTGTGCGGAGGCCGTGGCTGGTGTGGTCTGTTGGGTGGTGTGGCTCAGAGCCTTGGCAGGTCAGAAGGTCAGAGAGGGTGGAGGGCCAGAGAGGGCAAGGCTCTGGCTCTGTCCAGCTCCAAGACCCCCCGCTGTGCCTCAGGCACAGGCGGGAAGTGTTTGATGAGTGACTGATGGGGGTGGCGGGACATGAGAGGCTCCCTAGGGCTGGCGGCTGGGTGGACGCCGCGCTGCCTTCACCCGTGGCCTGCTCGGGGCCTGCAGAAGCCCGCGGCAGCCGGCAGGGGGCGGTGCCCGACCGGCTTTGGGAGACTCCCCTCCCCTGCCCCAGGCGGGGCGTCCCGAAGGCGGCGGGGCTCAGATGTGGCGGCGCCTCCAGTGTCCCGTCCCATCCCGTCCCGTTCCGTCCTGTCCCGTCCGGGCAGCCCTGAGCGGCCTTCCTGCCCGGGCATGTTGGCCTGCGGGCGGGCGGGCGGGCGGACACCAGGTGTCGGCGCTGCGGAAACAGAGGTTTCTGAGCCCCACCCAGGGACTTGGCACCCCACCCTGCTCACCCCACGCGGGGCGCCTGAGGGTGGGCGCGGCGCGGGCGTGTGGTCGGGGAGGGAACCGCCGCGGAGGACAGGCCCCAAGTGCCTGGGTTTGGGGTTCGGGGACCCTCCACGGGAGGAACCAGGGCAGCGTGAGACACACCTGCCCTGTAGGTGGGTGTCTGGGAGACCAGACCCCTAGTCCCAGCATCACTGGCTTACTGCCTGTCCTGGCCTGTGCTGGAGTCCTGGTTGGGCCTTGGTTTCCTCATCTGTCAAGAGAGTGATGATACCTGTAGTCCTAGCTACCTGGGAGGCTCAGACACGAGGATCCTTTGAGCCCAAGAGTTCCACTCCAGCTTGCGCATACTGAGACCCCGTCTCTAATACAACGCAAAATCCCAGTAAAACAAAACAAAAGAGAGAGTGATGATCCTACTTCGAAGCACTGTGGTGTTGACCAGTAGGTAAGGCTTATGACATCAGGCATCTCCCTCATCAGACTGGCAGCCCCCCAGGGCAAGGCTCCTCAGGAAGGGGCTTCTTGGGGCCCCAGCTCCATCCCATGGCTGCCTGTGGCTCCCAGGCTAGGTGGGTGGGTAGAAGGTGAGAGGCTGAGAAGGAACACAAACTTTGGCCTGTTCTGGTACTGCCTGGCCTGGCCTCCCCTGCCTGGTGTCTCTGAGGGGAAGCTGGGGCCATGGGGAGCCTGGAAGGGGCTGGAGAGTGGCTCACCCCTCAGCCTCTGCTGACCCTGCCCTTGACCCGCAAGGCCAGGACAGAGAGGGGAGTGGGAGGCACATTCCTGGCATTTGGAGGGAGAGACTGAGGCCACGAAGATCAGGCTCTGGCAGCATAGGAGAGGGGAAGGGGAGTACAAACTTCATTTCTGTCTGACAGATGGGTAAACTGAGGCTCAAGTTCCTCCAACAAGTTAGCGGCAGAAGCAGGACAAGAACCAGAGCCCTTGACTCCTAGCCTAGTGCTCTTTTCCCATTTCCCTATGTCCACATTTTTTGAGTTGTTTGAAGTGGCAAAGTCATGGTAGTAGAGAGGGTATGGGGTCTCAGAATATGTTCAGGGTCTCCTTCCCAAGCCAAGGTCTGGCTGTGGCCATACCAGTGACACTCTCCATGGTCTGGGTTTGGAAGTTCCAGAAGGGACCTTGTCTGGGCAATGTAAATCCCACCAACCCTAAGGCTCAGCCCTGGGGTAGGTCCCCCTCAGCCTGCTCCCTGACAGAGGGCATCAGCTGTTTCCACTGGTGTATCCCCTCTTTCCCTTTCTTCTCCACAAGTGGGGCAGTGCCAGGACACAGGGCAATGCTCAGAGCGCAGGGGTCACCTGGAGTCCTGACCGTCTCCAGAAACAGTGGGGAGGGGTTAGGAGGTCCAGCTCCTGGTTTAAAGTCCTGCTCTGTTGGTCGACAGGCTGTGTGGCTTAGAGCAAGGCCCTTCCTCTCTCTGGGCCTCAGTTTCTCCATCTGTAAAATGAGGGGGTAGGTGACATTCATGGTTTTAGTATGTCATCCCCTCAAGGGTGCCTGTGCTACCCACTATATCGCCAAACATGAGGTGTGAGGTGGCCCTGACCTATTTTGGAGGGAAATGGGAGGGGATGGGCCTATCTGGGCTCTACCAGCTACTTTTTGGCCGGTTTAGTTTTCAGAGGACTAAAGGAAGGGGATCATTGTCTGCTAAGTATGGCAGCAATTTCTGCTATTCCTCGAAGCTCTAATGTGCTCCAACTTCCCCTCAGAGACATCAGGTAGGAGAGGCCAAGTCAGGCAGTACCATAACAGGCACAAGTTTGTGTTTCTCTTCTGCTTGGGGTAAGGTCAGGCAAGGGGAAGGGACCCATATTAGCCTTTTGAGGCTTGATAGGTCGAGTGTTTGGTGTCTGAAAGCTACACTTTCTTTTCTTTTTTGGGACAGGGTCTCACTCTGTCACCCAGGATGGAGTGCAGTGGCACGATATCCACTCACTACAACCTCTGCCTCCCTGGCTCAAGCCATCCTCCCACCTCAGCCTCCTAAGTAGCTGGGACTACAGGCACATGTCACCATGTCCGGCTAATTTTTGTATTTTTTGTAGAGATGGCATTTCACCATGTTGCCCAGGCTGGTCTTGAACTCCTGTGCTCAAAGCCATCCGCCTGCCTTGGCCTCACAAAGTGTTGGGATCACACACAGGCATGAGCTGCTCCCAGCTAAAAGTTACACTGTTTTTTTTTTTTTTTTTGTCACCCAGGCTGGAGTGCAGCGGCGCGATCTCGGCTTACTGCAGCCTCCACTTCCTGGGTTCAAACTATTCTGCTTCAGCCTCCCAAGCAACTGGGATTACAGGTGTGGGCCACCACACCTGGCTAATTTTTTGTATTTTTAGTAGAGACAGAGGTTCACCATGTTGGCCAGGCTAGTCTTGAATTCCTGATCTCAGGTGATCCCCCTGCCTCGGCCTCCCAAGTTGCTGGGATTACAGGCGTGAGCCACTGCACCCGGCCGGAGAGCTATACTTTCGAAGGTTGACCTTGAAACTACGTGGGGACATGTGGCTATCCTTGATCCCCTGGAAGGTCTTCCGAGTTAGCTTATCAGCTCAAGTTATTCTCCACTCTGAGTACAGGACAGGGAACTCCTTTCCTTCAATGCTCAGGCACTGGGGTGGCCATAGGGGTGGGGTGGCAGTGGCCTGTCAGGGCAGGGTTTTGCAAGGGGATTTAGCATCCTCAGGAGAGGAGGACACTGGCCATCTTCCTTTTTCCAGGAGGTCATGGGGACGGTATGCGGTGGGACGCCGTGGGCCTCCCTCCACCAGAAACGTAGTCTTAGCAGCCACAGGCTTGTAGGGGGATGGAGCTGGGGAGAGGACTGTCAGGCAGGCTGGAGAGCCTCCAGGGGGACCCCAGGCTCCCCCAATCTCAGGGAGCTCCTTAAAGCAGCCACAATCCACTGCAGCAGGGCAAAGCCTATGGGGGGACCTGGGGGAAGTAGGTCTCCAAGGTCTCCATTTTGTACCCTTAAAGTCTGTAGCCAAGAAGAGGAGGAATGACCGATTCCCTGCCAGGCCCTGTTCCGACAGGCTGGGGAGGACGGGTGGGGCTCCCAGGTGAGCCCATGTGCTCCTGATCTCAGTTCGTAGCTAGGCAGCTTTGTAAACAGCAGAAACACAAAGCAGTCTCTCTCTCTCTCTGTGTGTGTTTGTGTGTGTGTGTTTGTGTGTGTGTGTGGGCCTGTGCTGGGGGACTCATGCCCCAGAGGGGGCCCTTCTCATTACTTTATAGTCACAGTTATATACAGGTCTGAGGCTGGGGTTCTGCCAGCGAGTGCTTGCTGAGCACTTGCTGTGTCGCAGGTCTGCTTCATGTATGGTGTCCTTTAATCTTCCCAACCCTGTAGGCAGGCACCCTTATTACCCAGTTTTATAGGTGGGGAAACTGAGGCTCTGAAAGTTGCAGATGCCCAGGGTCACAGAGCAACTGAGTGATAAAGCCAGGCCAGGGTTCAAATTGAGGTCTGTCTGACTTCAGTCCAGTTATACTCCTGGCACCTGTGGACGTGTGTGCATGTGAGCACTGATCAAGGGCTGTGTGTACACACGTGTGCGGATGTGTGCTTTGATGGTGGGCCTGAGTTGACCTGCGCCTGTTGAGGACACTTGCATGCAGGCGTGGCTATTTCTCCCCAGGGATGCAGGTGTGTGCACAGATGGCCACATGCACCTATGTTGGCACAATGCACATATATTGGGTACAAATGTGTGTGTATGTGTGCACATGTGAACATATGCATAAGAATATATGCTTGTGCACAGTGTGCCTGCATTTATGAGTAGGTGTATGCATAGGCTGTGCACATGCGTGTGCATATCTGCAGATAGCCATGTCCCCAGGTATACGTGGTCATCTCCAAAGGCTGACCTCACTCCAGTTCACTCAGCCTCTGTCCCCTTCTCAGGCTCCTGACTCAGGCACATGTGTGGAATCTATTTGCATGTTGGTCCCACTGAGTCAGTGTCACAGCAGGATGTGTGATGGCCTTGCTGGTGGTACAGGGACTTCTGAAGATTATTTGAAGGAAGGACACTTGGGGAGAGGTAGGATTGGCAGGGATGGGTGTTGAACAGGAAGGTGGCAGATGGGGTGGAGGCAGGCCTAGCTGTTTTTCAGCCCCCCAGTCAGGGGTAGAGGCCTCGCAGGAGCCTGATCCTGTACCCTGTACTTACCTCTTTCTTATTTATATTTATTTTTTATTTTATTTTTATTTTTAGATAGAGATGAGGTCTCACTGTATTACCCAGATTGGTCTCGAACTCCTGAGCTCAAGCGATCCTCTGACCTCAATCTCAAAAAGTGCTGGGATTACAGGCGTGAGCCGCCACGCTAGGCCTACCTACCTCTTTCAAGACTCAGCCCCACTACCTAGGGAAACCCAGGTAGGGAGGACATGTTTGTGCCCTGTCCCCGTATCTGTGTACCAGGCAATCCTCTGAGGGAATGGAAGGGTTGGGCGTGGGGGGCAAGATGGGAATGCTAAACCTCCTCTGAGGTTCACAGGTGTTGTAGAGAAGGGCTAAGGCCAAATTCCAGCCCCAGGAACCGCTCTTTGCACTGTCCCAGACCCCAGGCCATAGGTATCTGGCTCCCCATTGGGTGTGGAGGTGCAGATGAGGCAGTGGTCAGCAGAGGGCGCTCACAGCCTGCAGATGGTGGGGAGCCATGAAACAGGCAGGTGGGGATGGGAGTAGGGAGGGTAGGGCTGAACCACGGGCATAGACCCGCCTGTGGGGAAAGGGTGGAGGAACATGAACTTTGCAACACGAGGGGCAGACTCCTCGAGGGCCAGATATGCACATCCTCCCCAGAGAGACAGGCCCTCTCCAACAGACTCACAGACCCTCAGAAGGACAGACACAGGGACAATCCCTCACCCTCTGAGAGCACTCTGGGCCCAGTGAGCCAGAGGGAGGTGAGAGTGAGCATACCGGCCCACACGTCCCTCTGGAGGCAGGGGCTGCTGGCCCTTGGTGACAGTGAGGAGGGGAAGGAAGGCAAGGACTCTGCAGTCAGGCACGCTCGAGGTCCGACTCCAGAGCTGCCTCTGGGTGACCTGAGCTCTCCCGAATGGGGCAATGTCTGCCAGGTGTCCAGTTCAGGCCTTGACATACAATGTCACCCTGGAGGTTATGAGAGGTTGTCGGAGCCTCCGTCAATGATATGTCTGCAGAGTTCTCCAAGCACCTACTAAGTGCCAGGTCCATTGCAAGGCACTGGGGATACGGTGATGATCAAGTCACACCCAGTGGCTCCTGCCACTGTTAGGGAGCTAACATTCTAATGGGGGGAGTATCTTAGGATACTTGGGATACAAAATGGTCACTACTCCCCCCATTTGATTATTTGAAGTGGAAATTATGGGATAAAAGGCGGAGACTGGCAGGGAAGGCCCTTTCCTCTTTCATTGCTTATCAAATGCAGGCTGGGAAAAGTCCAGATATTATGGTACTGTTCTGGTCCCCTGCCTCTTACTGCAGAGGTCACATTCAAACCTTCCATCTCATTCAGTCAAAGCTGAGGTTCAACAGCGGCCCCTGAGGCCCAGTGTAGGCTGAACCCCCCACCTACTCTCCCCTCATCCCTCCTTGCAAGTCCTCAAACATGATAGGCAGGTTCTGCCTCTGGGCCTTTGCCTTTGCTGTTCCCTCTGCCTGGAATGCTCTTCCCCAGGCTTCTGCATGGCTTGTTTCTTCATCTCCCGGTTTTTCTTTTTTTTCTTTTTTTTTTCAGATGGAGTCTCCCTCTGTCGCCCAGGCTGGAGTGCAGTGGTTCAATCTCAGCTCACTGTAACCTCTGTCTCCTGGGTTCAAGCGATTCTCCTGCCTCAGCCTCCCCAGTAGCTGGGACTACAGGCACCTACCACCACACTCAGGTAATGTTTTGTACTTTTAGTAGAGACAGGGTTTTACCATGTTGGCCAGGCTGGTCTTGAACTCCTGACCTCAGGTGTTCTACCTGCCTCAGCCTGCCAAGATGCTGGGATTACAGGCGTGAGCCAATGCGCCCAGCCAAAATATTCCTTTCTTAGTGAGGCTTTTCCTAACCTCCCTATTAAGCACCCTACTCTCAACATTCCTTATGCTCTTTCTGCTTTAGTTTTCTCCATAGCACTTTTTATCAACATCTAGTCAACCACATCTTTTATATGAATACATTTCTTCCTTGTGTTTTTCTTCCCATGAGAACTTAAACTCCATGTGAGCAGGGATTTGGGCAGATTTGTTCACTGCCGTATCCACGGGCCTAGAATGTGCCTGGCACATTGTAAGCATCAATAAATATTTGTCAATGCATGTTTGTCAAATGAATGTTGAGTGCTGGCCCTGCAGTGGCATACCCCTCTTTCTGATGGGGGTTAATGATGGGTTGGGGGTCGGGGGCACGACTTAAAGGCTGCAGTTGAGTTGATGCTGGCATAACCTTTTGGGGCTAGGTGCCTGGGGATGTCTGCTATAACTGAAGACTATAGACTGGGTACTTTATAAACAGTAGAAGTTTATTTGGCATATGGTTCTGGAGGCTGGGAAGTCCAAGATCATGGGGCTGCATTTTGTGATGGCCTGGTGGCCTCTTGCTGCATCATGACATGGCAGAAGGCATCACGTGGCGATACAGTGCATGACAGAGAACAAGAGAAGGCCAAACTCACTTTTATAACAAACCCATTCGTGCAGTAACATAAATTCATTCATGAGGGTAGAGCCCCCATGACCTAATCACCTCTTAAAGGTCCTGCCTCTCAACATGCTGCACTGGGAATTAAGCTCTAATACATGAATTTGGGGGACTTACTCAAACCATAGCATTCTACCCCTGGCCTCTAAAATTCATGTCCTTCTCTTATGCAAAATACATTCATTCCATCCCAATGGCCCTGAAAGTCTTAACTTGTTCCAGCATCAACTCAGAAGTCCAAAGTCTAGAGTCTAAATCTAAATCATATATAGATGAGACTGAAGGTATCATTTGCCCTGAAGCACATTCCCCTCCATCTGTGAGCCTGTGACATAAAAACAAGTGATCTACTTCTAAAATACAATGGTGGGACAGGCATAGGACAGAAGTTCACATGCCAAAGGGAGAAACAGGCAAGAAGAAAGGGGGCAGGGGGTAATAGGCCCCAAGCAATTCCAAAACCCAACATGACAGACAACATTACATCTTTTTCTTTTGAGATGGAGTCTAGCTCTGTTCCCTGGGCTGGTACAATCTCAGCTCACTGCAACCTCCGCCTCCTGGGTTCAAGTGATTCTTCTAGCTCAGCCTCCCAAATAGCTGGGATTAGAGGTGCGCGCCACCACACCTGGCTAATTTTTGTATTTTTGGTAGAGACAGGGCTTTGCCATGTTGGCCAGGCTGGTCTTGAACTCTTGACCTCAGGTGATCTGCCCACCTTGGCTTCCTAAAGTGCTGGGACCACAGGCATGAGCCACCATGCCCAGCCAACATTACAACTTAAGACTCCAGGATAATCTTTCTCTCCATGTGCTTCCTACACTGAGGGATTTGGGCCCCCAAAGCGTTGGGCAGCCCAGTTCCCATGGCTTTGCTGAACTCAGCCCATGCAGCAGCTCTCCCAGGCTGGAGTGGCACATTGGTAGTCTACAGTTCTGGGGTCTCTGAGGTGGCCTCACTCCTGTGGCTTCACTAGGCATTCCTGGCAGGAACTCTCTGTGGCGGCTCTGCCCCTGTGAAAATCTCTGTCTGGGCCTTCAGGCTGTCCATGACATCATTTGAAATCTAGATGGAGGCCACCAAAGTCCCACAGTTTTTTCATTCTGCCCACCTGCAGAATTAGCATCACAGGGATGCCACTAAGGTTTACAGCTTGTACCTTCTGGAGTGGTGGGTCAAACTGCACCTGGGCCTGCTTGAGCCGTGGCTGGGGCAGCCAAGGGGCACTGCACTGGAAATCGGGAGCAGAGTCTTGAGGTGGATGGGACAGTGAATGCCAATTTCCCTTGGGCAGCTCTCTGGAAACCTTGCCCTCAAGCTCCTTGTTTGCCTTGAAGATCTCTGAAATGCCTTCAGGTTCATTCCCCCAATTGTCTTGGTGAATAGAACCTGGCTTCCTTTTATCCATATTATTCTCTTTAGCAAAAGGTCACTTGGCTACATGCTTAGTGTTCTCCCCCAAACATCCTTTTTTTATTCTTTTTTTTTTTTGAGACAGAGTCTCGCTCTTGCCCAGGCTGAAATGCAGTGGCATAATCTTGGCTCACTGCAACCTTGGCCTCCCAGGTTCAAGCGATTCTCCTGCCTCAGCCTCCTGAGTAGCTGGGATTACAGGTGTGTGCCACCACGTCCAGCTAATTTTTTGTATTTTTTTTAGTAGGGACGGGGTTTCATGGTGTTAGCCAGGATGGTCTTGATCTCCTGACCTTGTGATCCACCCACCTCGGCCTCCCAAAGTGTTGGGATTACAGGCATAAGCCACCATGCATGGCTGCTTTTTTATTCTTTAAATGGCCAGGCTAAGAGTTTTCCAAATCTTTCTGTTCTGCTTTATTTGAAATTATAAATTCCATCTTTGAGTCATTCTCTCTTCTCCCACTTTATTGTAAGTGGACAAAAGAAGCCATGTGGCACCGTCGGCACTTTGCTGCCTTGCTGTTGCTCCTGCCGGATATCCTAGGCCATTACTCTAAAGTTCTGCCTTCCATAAAGTCCTTGGGCATGGACGTAATTTTGCCAGGTTCTTTACAACTGCAGAGCAAGGAAGGCCGTTACTCTGTTTTCCAATAGGATGGCCTTTACTCTATTTTGCAGTAAGATAGTCTGCTTTTCCCCCAAGACCTCATCAGACTGGTCTTTTCTGTCCAGATTTCTAGAACATTTTGATCATGACCACATAAGCAATCCCTAAGAAGATTTAGGTTCCCTCTACAGCTGTTGTCTTCTTCTGAGCCCTCATTGGAATTGCCCTTAATGCTCCTTTTTTAGCAATCTGGGTTTTCCTTTGCCTGCTCCCCTGAATTCTTCCAGCCTCTACCTGTTACCTGGTTCCAAAGCCACTTCTACATTTCCAGGTATTGATTATAACAACAGACCCACTTCTTGGTACCAGTTTCCTGTCTTGGTTTGTTTTGTGGTGTTATAACAGAATACTACAGACGGGGTAATTTATCAGCAATTAGAAGTTTATTTGTCTCACAGCCCTGGAGGCTGGGGAGTCCGAGATCAATGGCCTGTGTCTGGGAAGGCATCACATGGTGAGAGTGTGTGAGACAGCAACAGAGGGTAAGAACTGCTTTTCTTTTCTTTTCTTTTTTGTGATGGAGTCTCACTCTGTCACCAGGTTGGAGTGCAGTGGCACAGTCTCAGCTCACTGCAACCTTTGCCTCCCTGTTTCAAGTGATTCTCCTGCCTCAGCCTACCGAGTAGCCGGGACTACAGGTGCGCACCACCACGCTCAGTTGATTTTTGCATTTTTAGTAGAGACGGGGTTTCACCTTGTTGGTCAGGGTGGTCTCGATCTCTTGACCTTGCGATCTACCCATCTCAGCCTCCCAAAGTGTTGGGATTACAGGCGTGAACCACCGTGCCCGGCCCAGACCTGCTTTTCTAATAAACCCACTCCCACATCACATCAATCCATGCATGAGGGCAGAGCCCTAATGACCAAATCACCTCTTAGAGGTCCCGCCTCTCAACACTGTTGCACTGGGGGTTGTTGTGGGACACATTCAAACCACAGCAGTGGGTAGGGGTATTCTGGTTCTTTTTTGCTCTTGTTAGGACAGAAGTTGAGTGTTTCGGGGACATCTACCAAACTTACATATCTGAGTTGAGACATGGAGGGGTAGTTTCTCCCCTTGAAGAAAATTAAATGCCAGGTGCGGTGGCTCATGCCTGTAATTCCAGCACTTTGGGAGGCCGAGGAGGGCAGATCACTTGAGGTCAGGAGTTCGAGACCAGCCTGGCCAACATGGTGAAACCCCATCTCTACTAAATATACAAATTAGCTAGGCCTGGTGGTACGTGCCTGTAATTCCAGCTACTCAGGAGGCTGACACAGGAGAATCGCCTGAACCCGGGAGGCAGAGGTTGTAGTGAGCCAAGATCGTGCCAATGCACTCCAGCCTTGGTGACAGAGCCAGACTTTGTCTCCAAAAAAGAAAGAAAATTCAAACTACAAGAAAGCTAGCACATAACGGAAGGGTGTTTATTGTTTGTGAATAGAGGAGTTCAGGCAGGGGACCTGTGGGTGTTACCCACCTGGAGCACACGTGCAGCCCATCTTCTAAAAGCCCACACGGACTTTGGCCGCCTTGTCAGGACAAGTACCCAGTTCTTTAAGTCCCAGCTGCTCCTAATAGAAGGAAAACGTACTCCCTCCAATCTCTTCCTCTAGGCCCAAGAACTAGCCCCCTGGGGCCCTTGCCTGTGCTCCTGAGTTTGGGTAAGGCCACTTATTTTAGCTCTAGGGGAGGTATTGTATGCTGCTGACTAACTTCCACAGCACTGCAGCTTTCCTGCTTTGCCCTTGAAGCTTTCAATAGCCACTCTGTCATTTCCTCGCATTGAATCCCCTGTGTTTGAGCTAGCTAGCTTGGCTTCTCTTTTCCTGACTGGACCCCAACTGATTCACTAGAGAACACTGGACCCCAGCTGATTCACTAGAGAACACTTGGACCCAGCTGATTCACTAGAGAACACTGGACCCAGCTGATTCACTAGAACACTGAACCCCAGCTGATTCACTAGAGAACACTGGACCCCAGCTGATTCACTAGAGAACACTGGACCCCAGCTGATTCACTAGAGAACACTGGATACAGCTGATTCACTAGAGAACACTGGACCCCAGCTGATTCACTAGAGAACACTGGACCCCAGCTGATTCACTAGAGAACACTGGACCCCAGCTGA